AAGCTAATTGAAAGGTGCGCTGAGCAGAGTTACAACCAGAGATTACAAACAATTACTTTTTTCTTCTGCAGTTTGGCACCCCCTCCAGCAGATGGCGCTCTAGGCGACCAACTAGTTCGCCTTTGCCAAGAGCCAGCTCTGGACGGAAGTCACCAAAGAAAAAGAGTTTATAGTGAATAAAGACGACTAAAAATGGAAACCATTCCTAAAGATATCGGCAGTGGTTGCACTTGAATGCTCTTCTGCAAAACTTGGAATATTAAATTAATTTTGTTAAAGGTATGATCATCATCAATGAGATGCATTGACTCCTAATAAATAAGACAAACATATCCATGTACTTCATACTCCAGTGCTCAGGAGTTAAGGACATGATTACCAGTTCCACCAGAAGGTCCCAAACAGTCATCTCACACGTTATAAAACTAATCTTTGGTATAAATAAAAAAAAATCTCATTGCATTTCTTATTTTTGCAATTGCCATTGTTCTAATTGAGTTTTGAAAAAGAAAAGAATAACATATTATTTTTTCATTATTATTATTATTTATTTTGAAACAGAAAAACCAAGGAACCACACAGATTAAATACCAAATATTAAAGACAGTACAGTCATAGCCTAGCCTGGCCCTTGTCTTCCTACACAGTTCCACTCAATTCTAGTTTCCCTTCACTGCTCCATCTGGGATTTCTCCCATAGACAAGGATTTCTATGGGAGAATTTTTGTCCGGGCCAATCAGAGAACAGAACGTCAATTTTCTGCACAGTGTCTGCTAGTTAGTTTGGCATTCGGCAGTGGAGGAAGTGAATGAAGCCAGTCCGTGTTGATAAGGCTTTCAAATTAAATGAAATTTGTCTGACAAAGCAGCAGCTCTCATTTACAGTCATTTCGTATGGCTCGGCACTTCTCTCCTCTCAGTTGGGTTGTTTACAGCGCACGCAGTTTCCTGTTAGCTTCTTAGCTTAGCCTCCTTCACAGTGGAGCTGGCACGCATACGTCACGGCCAACTGATCCAAACAATTTAAACTTCAATAGAGGCCACGCCTCTAGCAAGAATCCCTTCTCTATAGCCGCGAGTCCAGACCCTTGTCCGAAGCAACGTGAAGGACGAAGGTCTGGTTTTTACCAGGCTAGTCATAGCACACACTCGAGATTTTATTTCCTGCAGTGTTCCATCAGTTCGCACAGAACTTGGAAAAAGAGGCTTCTCCTATTCTGCGCCATCTTCCTGGAATTCGCTGCAGCAAGACCTGAAACTGTCCAGTTTGATCCCACTGGGTCATTTTAAACACATTTTAAAAGAAATGAAAAAAAAAAAAAAACATTGTTTGAATCGTGCTCATGCTTTTAGGCTTTCCTAAAATTGTAACTTGACGTTCATGATTTTTGTGCAACTGATATTGTATGTGTCACAGTTCTCTCTTGTAAATGAGACTACAC